GTAAATTTCAGAGTCCAATGATAGAATTGATTTTTTTTGGTTTGGGTTTTATTTTTATGATGAGAAAAAATTCTATTTAGAATTAGCCAGCTGGACTCAGTTTAGATGATCCCAGTTTTGTTGGTAACATCCAAAACATCATAGCCAGCAGCAAGTCGAATATAGGCCTTCTTCTCTCCATCAGGCCTAATCAAAGTGTTGACCTTGGCCACATCAGTGTCACAGAGCTTCTTTACAGCTTGTTTGATTTGGTGCTTCTTGGCCTTGACATCCACAATGAATACAAGTGTGTTGTTATCTTCTATCTTCCTCATGGCTGACTCAGTGGTCAGGGGAAACTTGATGATGGCATAGTGGTCAAGCTTGTTTCTCCTGGGGGCGCTCTTCCGGGGGTATTTGGGCTGCCTTGGGAGTCTCGGCAACTTAGGCCGCTGGAAGCTGGGTGGCATGCGGATCTTCTTTTTTTTTTTGCTGTGGACGCCCTTCAGGACGCCTTCTTGGCCTTTAATGCCTTTGCTTTGGCTTCAGTTTTGGGAGGGGCAGGAGCTTCCTTCTTCGCTTTTGGTGCCATCTTTGTAGAAAGGCGATAGAATTGCTTTTGATATTAAGGGCCTTCAAGTTGAGTACGACTCATACAACCCAACGGACAACAGATCTGAACCCTGCCCTATCCTGTGCCATCCTCATCATCTTACACACTTGAGCCCATTGTCATAGACACGGGACCAACTCGTCTCATTGAGGGTCTTCCTCTTCTTTGCTGACCCTCCATCTTTCCAAGCACAGTGTCCCTCTCCAAGGAATAGCCTCTCCTAGCAACATGTCCAAAGTATGTGGGACAAGGCTTCATTATCCTCGCCCTCAGGGAGGTTCTGGCTGCACTTTTTTCGAAGACATTATCTGTTTTGGCAGGCCCCAAGAGGGAGGTGGATACCTCCTCCAGAGTGGAGCTGAAGTGTCCACCAGCCGCCTAGCAGATGGCAGATGAATTAGTCTCCTTCCCAGGCCCTCTCCTGTCCCGTCCTGCAGCTCCAATAATGAAACCCTAGGTTAAGAAGCCAGGTTCCTGAAGAGACCATAGCTGACATCCAAGCAGATATATGCACACCCATGTTTATTGCAGCTTTGTTCACAATAGCAAGGAG